CTCTCTCTCTCTCTCTCTCTCTCTAATAAATAAAAAAAGGAAAAAAAGGCATTCATCACCACATCCAGCTGTATACTACATTTAAATGAAGTTAAATAACCTAAAGTTTCAAAAAGATAGAAAGGAGGAAGACTGAGGGCACTGGCGGTGGTGTTGCCCAGATCCTTCCCTTTATTCAAGGGTGTCTCAGTGAGGATGCACGTGGAGGATATGGTGCTGAGTGAAGTAAGTTAAGCAGAAAGAGCAATATGGCACTATCTTACTTATATGTGGAATAAACCTAAAGCAACTAAACTCATGGAAGCATAGAGTAGAAAGGTGGTTGCAAGGTAGAGAAAAAGAAAAGATGTGGGTTCAAAGGGTCGAAGTTTCAGTTACGCTAATGAATAAGTTCTGAAAATCTAATGAGCCTCACCTCACAGTATGTATGATTAACAATATTGTACACTTCAAATTTCTTAAGTGGGCAGCTCAATAAGTGTTCTCATCATAGACACACATGGATGGCAGTTATGTAAGATGATGGACAGGCAGCTTATTTATGGTGACCATTTCACAATGTGTACATGCATCTCAAACTGTTGAATGCTAGTATCATACATCTCAAATATATACAATTTGTATTTGTTAGTTATACCACAATGAGGAAAAAGATCTGAAAAAAATAGATTGTAAAATGGAATCCCAGAAAAGCAATGGTCTCTGGAAGGGATTTAGTTCGGTGTGGTACACCACTTGGCTAGTATGTGCAAGAGCTGAGTTCAGTCCCTAAGAGCCCAACCCCTGGGTGGGGTTGTAATCCTCTGCTTTGTGCCCCACCTGCCTTGTCCCTAAAATGAAGTGCACCTAAGAAAACTGCTTGTAACTTGAAAAGTGAGAACTAAAACACAGGACGCAGAAAGAAGAAGAAAGGGGGAGACAGGAAGGTGTAGAAAGCAAAATGTGTCAGTGTGAGAAATCTTGGTGGATGTCATAAAACAGGAAAAGGGCACCAAATTCTATGGCAACCTTGGTAACACATGTTGTCTTGTGTTCCTTTACAAACCTCCAGTGCTTACAATCCAATCATTATTATTTTCACTATTGCAGGGTTTTTTTTCTGAAAGTATTTTTTCTTTTCTGATAAAAGCATTTTTATCATAATTAATTATTTTTTTTCAAAGTTTTATTGATAAACAGATAGCAATGAGACAGTTTCAAATCAAATCAGAAGTACAGTTTCAACAAATAATACACTGCATATATTCTTCTTAGTGGTTAATTGCTGTACAAGATGCGGACTTGTGATCCTATTTACAAACACCATTAGAACAAATCATTCTATTCATTAAGAGAATGCAACTATATATCTATCCCAACCACTTTGAATACACAGATACAAAATGGACATTCATAGGTATATCCCAATTTTTCTAAGTTCCGTTATTGAATATTATAGGTGTGTAAACTCAGCAAAATATTCTAAAAGAGTCCAGTAGTCCATAATAGCATTGGGTCTTCTGTTTAACTGGCAATGTCAGAAATTATTGACCTGAGTCCCCCACAGCTCAACATAACAGCATGGCTTTATTTCCTATATTTCATCTTCATACTTTTCTACTGGATGGTTAAGACCAAGGTAAAGCAGGACCTATGTAACAAGAGTTGTAGCTTTTTGGTCTGAGAAGGTCAGTGAAATGCCCTCAGGATTTATCCTGAGATCCTGTACCTCAGATTGTAGAA